GTCTGACAGGAAGCAGCACGTGAGGCTGGGGAAACACGTCTCTGACCATCAGCACCGGTTCCCCTCAAGGCTGCGTTCTTTCCCCTCTGCTCTTCTCCCTGTACACCAACAGCTGCACTTCCAGTCACCAGTCTGTCAAGCTCCTGAAGTTCAGACGACACCACGCTCATCGGACCCATCTCTGGTGGGGACGAGTCTGCCTACAGGTGTGAGATGGACCATCTGGTGACCTGGTGTGGGGAAAACCACCTGGAGCTCAACGCTCTCAAGACAGTGGAGATGGTTGTGGACTTTAGGAAGAACGCAGCCCCGCCCGCCCCCATCACTCTGTGTGGCTCACCATCACTCTGTGTGACTCCCCAGTCACTGCTGTGGAGTCTTTCCGCTTCCTGGGCACCATCATCGCCCAGGACCTCAAATGGGAGCAGAACAGCAGCTCCCTCATCAAAAAAGCCCAGCAGAGGATGTTCTTCCTGAGGCAGCTGAAGAAATTCAACCTGCCAAAGACGATGATGGTGAACTTCTACACCTCCATCATGGAGTCCATCCTCACCTCCTCCATCACCATCTGGTACGCTGCAGCCACAGCCAAGGATAAGGGCAGGCTGCAGCGTGTCATCCGCTCTGCAGAGAAGGTGATCGGCTGCAATCTGCCATCCCTCCACGACCTGCATGCCTCCAGGACCCTGAGGCGGGCAGGGAAGATAGTGGCCGACCCCTCCCACCCTGGACACAAACTGTTCACCCCCCTCCCCTCTGGCAGGAGGCTGCGCTCCATCAGGACCAATACCTCTCTCCATCAGGACCAAAACCTCTCTCCATCAGGAACAAAACCTCTCTCCATCAGGACCAAAACCTCTCTCCATCAGGACCAGAACCTCTCTCCATCAGGACCAGAACCTCTCTCCATCAGGAACAAAACCTCTCTCCATCAGGACCAAAACCTCTCTCCATCAGGACCAGAACCTCTCTCCATCAGGACCAGAACCTCTCTCCATCAGGACCAGAACCTCTCTCCATCAGGACCAAAACCTCTCTCCATCAGGACTAGAACCTCTCCATGAGGACCAAAACCTCTCGCCACCAGGACCAAAACCTCTCGCCACCTCAACAAGGCCCCCCCACTGACACTTTACCTCATCCACAACGCAGACTCTATGCATTACATAATGGAGATCACAGGATGGTAAATAATGCAATGTTTAAATATTGCTTACTGCACATATTTTATATTCTATAATTTATTGCATTCTATTTCGATGTATATTACTGCTTTATTTTATTGCTATCTTACTATATTTTTATTACAGTGTTCTTAATATAGTTCGCTATCTGTGTACTTTTTTTTTATTTAATTTTTTTTATTTATATATGTATGTACGACACCTAGTCAAATTCCTCATACGTGTGAAAAACCTGTTTCTGATTCTGATCTTTTTGTCCTCTAGGTTGCACTGCCACGTCTACAGTAGCGCAGAATGGACAGAGGAAACATGATTGGGCCTCAAGTTTTTTGCAGCCAATATACATTCTACAAACTTGGGATAGGAGGGTGAGTGAACAAGTTATCCATTGGTTGGAACCTACATCCCCATTGTTAGACGTACTAAATCCTGCACACTGCTCCTTCAAATTGACAATGTGAACATATGTCGCCATTTTGTAATTTCTGTTATTTTCAGTTGAGAATGTTTCAAAGTACTCTTAAAAAATTCAACTTACTTTTTGTTTCTACTGTTTATAAGTATGATGTTTAAATATGAAATGCTGTATTCATTAGTTTTCATATTTTAAGTTTTCAGAGTAATTGTTTCCGACAGAACATTTTGTGATGTCTTTTCATTGAATGTCTTTGATTGGAAAATGTTAGAAAAAAGCTGTAAAATAACAGTATTCTACCTGTAGAACTTTAGGTTCTGTATTTATTTTAGTGTTTGATCATACAAATCTAATAAAAAAAAAAGTAAAAAACAGTTTTTCTCATCCGAACTTTATTTAAGGTATTTGAATGTAACATTTTAAGACAATGGATTTTGAAAAGAGAGGAAAGTTTCCTGTAAAATCGTTAAGGACAATTTCTGTATATTAATTGCTTTTGCACTTTATTTGAGTTAAAGTATTTTTACTTTAATTTTATGGTTTTTGTTTGGCAGCCGCTGCTGCCAGTACTTTGACCGTTTTTTTACAGGTTTTTTGCACGTTAAAGTATTAGTAATGTACTTTTATTAAAGGTTATTGACTGTAAAAAGAGAGGATAAATCTGTAAAATTAGAGTATTTGCACGTTAAAGTATTAGTAATGTACTTTTATTAAAGGTTATTGACTGTAAAAAGAGAGGATAAATCTGTAAAATTAGAGTATTTGTACGTTAAAGTATTAGTAATGTACTTTTATTAAAGGTTATTGACTGTAAAAAGAGAGGATAAATCTGTAAAATTAGAGTATTTGCACATTAAAGTATTAGTAATGTACTTTTATTAAAGGTTATTGACTGTAAAAAGAGAGGATAAATCTGTAAAATTAGAGTATTTGTACGTTAAAGTATTAGTAATGTACTTTTATTAAAGGTTATTGACTGTAAAAAGAGAGGATAAATCTGTAAAATTAGAGTATTTGTACGTTAAAGTATTAGTAATGTACTTTTATTAAAGGTTATTGACTGTAAAAAGAGAGGATAAATCTGTAAAATTAGAGTATTTGTACGTTAAAGTATTAGTAATGTACTTTTATTAAAGGTTATTGACTGTAAAAAGAGAGGATAAATCTGTAAAATTACAGTGTTTTCCTGTAAAATCTTTAAGGACAATTCCCGTAAATTAATGGCTTATTCACTTTATTTCAGTTAAAGTATTTTACTTTAATTTAAGGGTTTTTGTTTGGCAGCCGCTGCTGCCAGTACTTTGTAAAAAAAAAACTCGTAAAAAAACGGTCAGTGTACACAACCTGTAAGTTTGCATTGTTATTTGTGTATTTATCAAACAAGGTAGCTACCACGACTGTTTAAATGTGTAAACATGTTTCGGACTGCTAAGCCAGTGCTAACTGTGCTAACTAAGTTGCTAGCGTTTCCATATATCAACTCCAATATTAGCAGATCGCCTTACATACATGTTCCTCATAGCTGGATAATGTCTGCATTCACACACGAAATAGTCATAGACCGTATACTCCTGGTGATTTACCGTTCGGTCAGTCGCGAAACGTAATTACATTATAGCTGGCGTAGCGTGTATGCTACCGATCTACCGACGGAGCTAGACCTTAGTTTGGTCGGAAAAACATTTTTGTTATGCTACGTTGCTAGCGTTTAAATATATCAACTACAATGTCAGCAGATGGCCTTACATGTTTGTCATGGCAGGAGAATGTCTGCAGTCACACACACGGAATACTCATACAGTATACTCCGGGTGATTTACCGTACATTGTGACAGTACATGTATAGCTAACGAGGCTAGCTATGCATGTATAGCTAACGAGGCTAGCTATACATGCTAGCGGGAAACATTGTATGACCGAACGTAGCAGACTACCCGTAGAATAATGCAATTATAAACACGTTATTGCTAGCCTAATATGAACCACTAACTTTTGTTCATAGTAGTTTTATTACACTCCGTTACTCCAAGCTAACGTTCATATCGTGTTAGCTACCAAGGTAAACAAAGCTAGGTTAGCATATTAGCAGGCAAGCTCTTCATTAGATATATCCACACTCCTACCACAACTACTACTAACGAATCTAAAACAACTAAGTTTCTCTAATATTTTGTGATTTGCATTTTATTTCGTCCAGCCAGATCCTGCCGGACAATACATGACTGGACGACCACACTGAGGCATCGTCTCAAAAAGCCCCGGCTGCTATAAGCAAGATGCCAACAACGGGGAGTAATTGACGATATACCGTGTATATATGTATATTTACGTTCATTTTGTACATTTCTAAAAATAAAGTTTAATGGAAATACTTAGTAGGCCTATCCTTTCTTCCCTGAATTATTTGCTCCTATAACATATCATTCATATATAGCAAACCATGATTTGATTTCTCATCAAACAGTAGTAGTTTATAACGGGTAAAAATAACTTACTCTTTGTTATGACCGGCTCGTAGGCCACAACGGAAAGACAAGGAGACATACACGAGTTTACAAAACCACGGCACATTTATTGTGGTAAATGCAGAGAGAGGGGGAGAGGATTGCTGAGCTGCTTGGAGGGAGAGAGGGGCCCGTGTGACTCCGGGCAGCTGGCTAGCACCTCGGCTCCGGCCAGGTGTCCGTGATCGCGCTGATTAGCCTCTTCAGCTCCACCCCATCGTAAGACAAAGGCCCTGGGGCCGTCACACTCTTCTATAACAACAGTTGTAGCTACAGTTCGGTTAGTTGGCGTATAAAATATACGGCTGTACCGACGCCATGATAAGACTGATGTTTAGACATGGGCGCAGCCTCTCTGGTGGTTGACTAATCAGAACAGAGTGGCCGAGCTGACCAATCGGAGCACACTAGGCTCACAGGGAGGGGGGGGCAAGAGCTCCAACAAGTCGTTTAGTGGAGAGAGTGAATACTGCTGAATACACATGCTTGACAGAGATGCTGTATGCGAAACCAATGTGAGTTTGGAAAATTGCACAGTATAAATCTATTTTAGTATACCTCAACAATGTAATTATGATCAGTGGAAATGGCCATGACATGGGCCCTTTAAGTATTATATGAATGCTGTGCAACAATGTTAATCCAGTCAGGCAGATTTTTCTCATGTGTGAACTGTCATAAGACTTATTCATGGTCCTCTCCATCAGCTTCTGTTTCCATGTGTTCAGCTGAGCTGCTGAATGGAGGCTCTGCCTCTCTGTTATCCTCAGTTTGAATTTCATTAAGCTGTGAGGACAGACGACCAACACACTTGTGTCTTTTGATATCACTAAGCCATTTAAATCTTCTGTCACAAACATTGCAGCTGTATATTTCCTCTCCTGTGTGGACTCTCATGTGTTTTTTTAAACTTCCACTCTGTGAAAAATCTTTCTTACAGACTGAGCATCTGTATGGTTTCTCTCCTGTGTGGATTCTCATGTGTGACTTTACATTCATATTCAGTGAAAACGTTTTCTTACAGACTGAGCAGCTGAATGGTTTATCTCCTGTGTGGACTCTCATGTGTGCCTTTAAATTTCCACTCCGTGAAAAATATTTCTTACAGACTGAGCATCCGTATGGTTTCTCTCCTGTGTGGATTCTCATGTGTTTTTTTTTTTATTTGACTCGATGCAAAAGATTTGGTACAAACTGAGCAGCTAAAGGGTTTCTCTCCTGTGTGGATTCTCACAAATTAGAAAGAGCTTCTTCTTCTTCTTCTTCTTCTTTAGTGTTTATTGGCGGTTGGCAAACCAACTTGTAGGTGCATTACCGCCACCAACTGGACTGGAGTGTGGACAAGAGACTATGCAGAAAACAATAAACAAAATAAATAAAACAAAATAAATAAAACAAAACCTCAACAAACAAACAAACAAACAAAACAAAACAAAACAAAACAAAACAAAACAAAAAAAAGAACCAAAACTCTAGATTATTTTAAATTGATCAATTTCTCTTAAAAACGTAATAATCTTACAATACATATTGCCTGATGTTTTCCCTAACAGCCCTGATAGCGACAAGTCATGGAATTTTGCTTTCTTCAGTGTCTGGAAAAGCACATTTCTCTGAGTACTATATTTCCTGCAAAGCAGTAAAACATGTTCAACAGTTTCTGGCTAGCTACAGTGTATACACTTTCCGGTGGGATGCTTTCCTATTCTACTCAATGTATGATTGAGCCCTGTATGACCTATTCTCATCCGAGAAATGACATTTTCCTCCCTTCTTTTAAACCCCACCTTCCGTCCATCCCCCACATACCTTTGAATATTATAAATATGTCTTCCTGTATCACTAAGGTCCCCATGTTCTTGCCATGTTGTTTGTGCATATTTATGTATGAATGTTTTAACCTCCGCTTTGCTAAGTGGAACTTCTATGTCGATGTTCATAATTCTGAGTGTTTGTTTGGCCAGAATATAATGTATGATTGAGCCCTGTATGACCTATTCTCATCCGAGAAATGACATTTTCCTCCCTTCTTTTAAACCCCACCTTCCGTCCATCCCCCACATACCTTTGAATATTATAAATATGTCTTCCTGTATCACTAAGGTCCCCATGTTCTTGCCATGTTGTTTGTGCATATTTATGTATGAATGTTTTAACCTCCGCTTTGCTAAGTGGAACTTCTATGTCGATGTTCATAATTCTGAGTGTTTGTTTGGCCAGAATATCCACCTGTTCATTACCCTCCACACCAACATGACCAGGAACCCAGATGAAACGAGTTGCTATGCCTTTGATTTGCATTTTATATAAAATTAGAAATATTTCATTTCACTCTGTGGTGTATACTGACACATGGTCTGTAACCCTTTTCTTTATATGTGTATTACTCACTGGGATATAAACTGCTGCCCCTGCACGCCCTGTCTCTGGATCTTTGGAGCCATCTGTAAATATAATTGTTGAGTCTGAGTAATTTCTTGCAAAATAATTCTGGACTATGCGCCATACTGGTAATAGTTCTTTCTTTTCCTTCAACTTCCTTTGTATATTGAGGTCTACCCTTGGCAATGGGAATAACCAGGGTGGAATGGACGAGATTGGAGCTGTGGGGCAATACTGTATTTTATTCAAACCTATACTTGCTGCTTTAACATCACAAATCCATCCAAAACTTGTTAAATGTGACTCATTGTGCTCCCAGCAGTCTTTCAAAATACTTTTCGCAGGATGACTATCACAATGCCCCTGAAGGTTTACCCAGTATGCCAACATTAACTTAACTCTTCTTATCCTTAAAGGCATTTCTCCCATTTCCACCTGTATTGCTGATACTGGAGATGTTTTAAAAGCTCCACTACATATTCTCAGGGCCTGAGCTTGTAGGACATCCAGTTTTTTAAGATTTGATTCTGCTGCTGCCATGAACGCTATACACCCATAATCTACTACAGGTCTCATGAGTGCCCAATATATATTCAGAAGTGATGATCTACTCGCTCCCCACTCCTGTCCCGCCAAACACCGAAGTACATTATTGACCTTTTTACATTTATTTTGAACTTTTCCTATATGATTGCTCCATGTTAGCTTTCCGTCAAACCACACACCAAGAAATCTTATTGTATTAACCTGTTCAAGAGGTTGCTCATACAATTTTAACGATATAGGAGCAATTTTATGCCGTTTTGTAAAACAAATTACCTGCGTCTTAGCTACTGACAGTTTGAATCCCCATTTATTTGTCCATTTCTCCACTTCAACTATTGCAGCTTGTATTTTCTTTCCAACATGTGCTACATTGCGACCTTTTGCCCACAAAGCCCCATCATCTGCATACAAAGATTTTCCCACACTTGGATGAACTTGATTAAAAATGTCATGTATCATTATATTGAACAGCAACGGACTACATACACTACCTTGTGGAGTACCATTCTCCACAGCATAAACACTTGAATACTCTGCACCTACTCTTACTTGTATTTTCCTGTCCAGTAACAAATTCATAACCCAATTATATGCTTTACCACCAATTCCCAATGATTTTAACTTGATTAGTAGTCCTTCCTTCCAGAGCATATCATAAGCCTTTTCAATATCAAAGAAGACTGCAATCACTACTTCCTTGTTGGTCTGTGCTTTCCTGATGTCTGATTCTAAGCACAATATAGAATCCATTGTATTCCGACCCCTACGAAACCCACTTTGATATGGGGACAACAGAGCTTTACTTTCTAAGATATATGTTAACCTTTCTGTAACCATTCTTTCCATAATGTTGCATAAATGAGATGTCAGGGCAATAGGTCTGTAGCTAGATGGATCTGAAGGGTCTTTCCCTGGCTTTCGGATGGGCACTATTATCGCTTCTTTCCACACTGAAGGAAGTTGGCCAGAATCCCACACCCTATTAAACAACCTTAACACAATGACTAGAGTGTTATCTGTCATGTGTTCCAACATTTTGTAACAAACACCATCTTTCCCAGGAGTGGTTTGACGAGCACTAATAATTGCTCTTCTCAACTCAAACATACTAAAATGCAGGTCCAACTGATCCCCTAACACTTCTACTCTATCCAATATTCTCGGGTTTTCCATTAGTGTATTATTTCTGCACTGCCTGGCTTCCTCTGTAAGGTTATCTGAACTATGAACTTTCCTAAATGTTTGAGCTAGAAGTTCCGCCTTTCCTAAGTTTGTAACAGCCATTATGCCCCTCTGCTCAAAACTGGCAACTCATAATTCTTTCGAATTCCCCCCATTCTCCTAATCATGCCCCAAACATCTGCAAGCTGTACTTCTCTTCCAATACTATTGCAATATTGCCTCCAAAAAGTGTGTTTTTGCGTTCTTATTGTTCTCCTTACTATAGCCTGGGCCCTTTTATACTGATTCAAAGCTTCCTGAGAATGGAGTTGTTTGAGTTGCCTGAATGCTTTATTTCTGTCTTTAATGGACTTGCTACATTCACCATTCCACCAGGGTACACTCTTGGTACGCCTAACTCTTGCAATTTCCGGAATTGTTTCTTTAGCTGAATGAATGATAACCTTGACCAGCTCATCATTGAATTTATTTCTATCATCAAAATGTTCCTCTTGAAGTGTTTTACATCTATTCGTACTTACAACTTGGAAGGCATCCCAATTAGCCTTTCCCAATTTCCACCTAGGAATTTTCTTTTCCTTTTCAAAACTTATGTTGGTTCCAACTTTAGTCATTACCGGATAATGATCGCTGCCCACTGTAGTATGATTTACCACATTCCATGTACTTATACCTGCTATAGCACTAGATACAAATGTCAGATTGAGTACTGTTTCTATATTCTTCGTGCAATTATATCGTGTTCCTTCCCCAGTGTTAACACACACTAGCCCGTGGTCATCTATAAATTCCTCAACTACTGCACCATTTGCATCTGTGCTACTGCTTCCCCATAGCGAGTTATGTGAATTAAAATCCCCACACCATATTACTTTGTCTTGCAGTGAACCCCCAGCATCCTCTAATATACTTTGATCTAATTTCCCACATGGATTATAATAACTATAGGTCCTCTATCATTCCATACCCTTATAACTATTGCCTCATGATCTGTACTTACATGCATAACTTTGTAACTTATACCACTCTGTATGAATGTTGCAACTCCTCCCCCTCTGCCAGAGTCCCTATCTCGTCTAACTGCAGTATGTCCCTTCACAATAAAATCCAGTTGTGGTTTCAGCCATGTTTCCTGGATACAAAGTACATTAGGTTTCTCTCCCAGGTTGTCAATATATTTTTTGAACTCTTGTCCATTTGCAATTAAACTTCTAGCATTCCACTGCAGTACAATTAACACCATCAGGATGATCCACTCCATGTCTGAGATTGTTGGACGTCATCATTTAGGATATCTTTCACATTTTCCCAGTGCATCCCTTTCACATCAAGGTACTTTTCAGCTGATTTGACAATTATTTTGATTCTTTCATTCCGGCTTTTAGTCTGCGCTGAACAGTTGATAATCTCTGCCATAAACAGTACAAACTCTCTTTTACTCACTATCAGAGTGTCCTCCTTCAACTTAACACAGTTTTGGACTTTTTCTGTTTCTTTGCTCTTTTTGTTGTTTTCCATTGTAACCTGCGTTCCTCCTGAAACTGTCTTTGCTGCCTCTGCATAGCTAACTCCCTGCGTCACCCTGACTCGCTGCACCTCTTCTGCTTTCTTGCTAACCTCACATCCACGGTACGCTGAGCTATGCTCCCCTCCGCAATTGCAACATTTCAGCTTTGCCCCTTCCTCACATTTGCCGTATTCATGATCTCCACCACATCTGCCACACCTTTGTTTTCCCTTGCACACTACCGCCACATGTCCAAATCTCTGACATTTAAAACATCTTAGTGGTGGTGGAACATACGGTCTCACATCATAACACATATATCCAATGAGTATCTTTTCCGGAAGACTTTTTTCATCAAAGGTGATCAGAACCGAAAGACTATCCTCTTTGATCCCATTGCGATTTGCTTTCATGCGTTTTACATCACTTATTCTTGCATTTGTTATATTCCCTTTCACATCATCAGCTGATATTCTGACGGGGATTCCTGTCACAACTCCCCTGACTAGCTTTCTACCACTGAACAGTGAACATT